TGGGTTTCATTTCCCTGTTAACCATTTTTGTTCTATGCTTCCCAGTCTCCTAGGTAGAGAAAACAGAAGCAAAATAAGACTTCAGTAATTCTACCTTCTTTTCTTCATCGGTCCCATCCACCCCAAGCAGTCCTAATCCTTCTTTGATCTTTCTCCTCTCATCCTCTACATACCCTTTCAAATCCTTTTGTTGTCCTTATCATTTTTCAGAAGCCTTAGCTCATTCTGGGCTTCAGAGCTCCTGACTTGAACTATGACACTTTTATATTCATTCTCAGTTACCTGTTCTTACTGATACTTCCTGGACTTATCTTTTAAAAATCTGAGTTGGTTTATGACTTTTCTGATTATTCAAAGTACTCTCTTTGGATACCTTTCACATCACTTCTTCACTGACAGTATTCATTGTCTCATTAAACGAGTTTCATCTTCAATAACATACGATCCTCTTCTATAGTATCTCGGGATCATAGGATCCCACCAATCCTTTTTCTGAATGCTTTCACATGAGTCTTCCAAAAGCCCACGGAATGCAAAAAACTATGCTGGTCCTTCCTTCTATCACAAACTTCAGGATGGCATGGCCACTTCCTCCCTAGGTTTCCATTATTTCTATTTAAGCAACCAATTCCTCCTTGCTCATGAGAGACGGATTCAGAACAGCAGTCTCCTGGTTGCTCCCTCTACCTTCTGAAGGATGGCATTATTATTAAGGCAGATCAATATTTTCTCAGAGACGTCCAGCAGGTGCCCAGGTAGGTGAATGACCCCCTCACAACCTTTGTGATCTAGACTCATAACCCACTTCCCCCCTCTATTCAGGCAGTCTGTACTACATTCCTACCCCAGGCCTGTTTCTTTCTTTCTCCTTCCACTGAACCTCATCCAAAGGTCCTCCGCCATGCTTTTACATGCGCATGCATCCGCTCATAGAAGGTTAACTCTTCATACAGAATGCCATTCTACCATCCCTCTGATCTCACCTTTTTCCTTTTTTAATGAGGTATTCTCCAATCTTACCTCACAGTGCTCCCATCAATGCTCTGTTTTATCTATAAGGTTTTGTTTATTTCCTTACATTTAAATTTCTAGTTCACTTTTCCACTGATGTTCTGCAAACCCTAAAGGACAGAGATCATGGATATCATGGAAGATTTCTTGTGCAGATAGCAATAAGCTCTCTTCCTTTAGACCTTAGACAGCACTTTGTTCACAACTCTCTTTGTGTAGATTTAAGCTTTAATAGCTTAAAAAGAGGCAGTTGGTGGCACAGTACACAGAGCATGGGGCCTGGAATCAGGAAGACCTGAGTTCAAATTCAGCTTCAAACACTAGCTCTGTGACCACGGGCAAGTCACTTAACCTCTGTTTGCCTCAGTTTCCTCAACTGCAAAATGGGTGTGAGAAATTATTATTTCTCTCTTGTATTAATAACTAATTATTGTATTAGGCCCAAGGTTTAACCCCTTTTTCAATTCCTCATCCAGAAATCAACCAGTATGGGAAATCTTCCCAAAACACTTATCCAACCAGAATGGCTGAGATCTAATCAAAGTTGGTAAAAGAAATTCCAAGTTTGGGCTAATGAGTGCATTCCTGCTCACTGTGTTCACTCAGGTCTGGCAAAGTATTGATTCTCCCTTTTGTCAGAGAGGTGACATGGAAACTGATAAGTTTCTTTGATCAAAATTTAGGTAATCCAAGTCATGAACCCCAAGACCCTCACTGTAATACAGTCCACCTTCTCACTGTAATATTCATTTTCTCATTAATTGTTAGCCAATCAGAGTTGACTGCCACCGTTGGGAACATCTGCTCTTCCAAGGGCATATAAACTGTGAGCCCACCGCCATAAGGGGTCTTTGGTCTGAGAGAGACAGCCAAATGACCATGCTTTTATTAAAATGCTGGCATTACTAATACAAGTATAAAATTTCCCAGAAATCATGTCTCTCGAACCTTTTTAAACACCACGTGGGGATGATAATAACAGCACCAACCTCTCAAGGTTGTTACAAGGATCAAAGGAAATCATATTTGTAAAAGCACTCAGCACTTCGCTTGGCACACAGTAAGTGCTACCTGTCATAAATGCTAATTGCCTTATCTTCCCTTCCCCTAAAACAATCAAGATTTATTCTGCATTCTAGTTACTGGTGCATGTTCTATGGCCTCCAAATAAACAAGAAGCTCCAGCCCAAGTCTTACATAATCTTCGTGTATCTCCCAGTGCCTAGCACTGAGCTCTGCACATAGCAGACGATAAAGAAATACCAGCTAAATGAATACATGAACGCACAAATCCTCACAGTGACTCCTGCCTGCCTGGGGAGCCTGTTGGTATGGCAGCATTCTCCCTCCAGTTTCTAGAGGAGAAACCTCCCAGACAATACATTTTAAACAAAGAAAAGAAAAATCCAAACACACAAAGGAAAGCCCAAGACCCTGGATCTGTTTATCCTTCTAGTCCTTAAAAAGAATAAAGGAAAGATACTATTAACAGCACCAATGTTTCATTTCCCAATAGGGATTCTCATTTTCTTAGTTACAAACACCCTCTAGTCATTAGTGGGGAAGCTGTAAAGATTTTACATCTAGTTAGAAATTAGTCAACCACTTATTTAAAATTAGGCAATTAATAAATACTTTTCCCAAATAAACTTCTCAATTCTTCATATGTATTATAAACCTGATTATCTCTTGCAGTCCAGAAAACAGAAACCATAAAACATCTCACAACACAATCTCTGAGACTAATAAGAAATTGAGAGCTAGAAGAAATCTTACAAATCACCTAGTCTAGTGACTGTGGACTTCGCTGCTCAGCAAAATGCCCTGCCCAAGGTTACACAACAAGTTAGTGACAGATCTAACATTAGAATCTAGATCAACCCAAGAATACCAAGTAATGCTTACTAGAGACTCCTCATCTAGGAAAGGTCACCAGTATTGAGATGTGGGTAAAATAGCTGGGAGTAAATAGTAACTCAGTAAGACAGTCTGGGTATTAAGAAAAAAGTGAAATTGTAAATAAGCCTTACTATAATAATTTTTAAGAATTTCTTCCACTGGTGTTCAACACCATAATGGAGGCCTGCGGCACGCCAAAGGATTTCGGGTAGCCCGCAAAAAATGTAGAGGAAAACATCCTCTATATTTTTCACGGACTACCCGAAATCCTTTGGCATGCCAGTGGGCTGTAAGTGGCCCACAGGCTACAGGTTGTGCAGGTCTGCTGCAATGCATTAGAATTGCTAACACACTCCTACCACTTTTTGTTGTTTTTAAAATAATATTATACATTGTCAAACTACATCTACCTTCTGTCAAGATTTCCCTATTTTGTATAACAAAAGATTGGACATTTTGCTAATTGCTTAATTTTAAAACCTGAATAACAATGAGAAGCAGTTAACAGATATTTCTAATTTTCTGAGAACAATGCAAACTCTTCTAAGAAATACACTCCCACCATCAAGAAATGAGGAGTGGTAGTATACTTAGAACTCAACTACACTTAAGTAATGAACTCTTAGAGGTTTTTCTCTCTACAAGGGGACGAAGTGTCAATCCTCCTGAACTGTACCAAGTAAAAAGGAATACATCACAGGAAAACAACCTTGGCTTAAGAACATTAAGTAATCTGAATCAAAAAAGGAAAACGTATTTAAAGAATATCTCTTTTTTTCCCCCCAAAATATATCTGAATTGCAGTATGCTTCAGAATCACTGAGTACCAAATAATTTTTAGTGCAGAGTATCATAGGAGTACGGGAAATGCAAAATTTAATTTATTTCATTGAATAAATCCAAGTTTATAATATATTCATATTGGATAGCCTGTTAATATAAGCAATTGGGTAGTCTTAAAAAATAAGATAAATATCTACTTTTAAAAGATAAACTAAGATGTGATCTAGCTTCAAGATATGAAATTTGACTCTGGAAATCAACAACAGGTTTAGAATTCCTTGTTAGATACATCTCTTTGCTTTTTCAATTCAAAGATGATGGTTTTTTACTATTAATAACTACAGTACTAACAAAAATAGTTGAAAACTTTATGTGGACAGCTACCTAGATGGAAAAACAATACAAGACAAAACCTGAGAATTCAAAGGCTGATATTGATTATCAGACAGAGCAAAATTAACGTATTCTATTATAACTAAACTATTTTATATATCAACTGCTTTATAGCGTGTATTCTTAAAATAATTTTATATAACATAATTGAGAAAGTAAAGATTCCCTAAAAGGAACTTCAATTCCTAGATATTACTGCAGAGATGCAAAACTCTGGTTTTCAATCAGCAATAAAGAATGACTACACACTTAGAATTTGCTATATGTTCATTTAAGCTTAACCTTCTAAAAACCAAATACACTAATGATACAGACATTTTCTTAGAGGGCAAAAGAACCAATGAATGATAATCCAATTCCATTTTATAATAACATGACAAACACTTTCCCCCAGTAACCATTTTCCACATTTCCCTCCAAGAAGTGACATAGAAACTGATTTTGTTCTAATCTAGCAAATTTCTCATATACTTGAAGCCTGTAACACTTATATGATTCCAAAATATGTTTCCAAGTGGCAACTGTCTTTTCTGTCTGCAAATTTGAGTTTCATCATTCACAGAGAAAAAAGCAAATAATAAAATGTGCAGTGCACTTGAATTCTTCCACAAAATCAGGCATTTTAAATCTAAATTAGACTAGAACTCTAATACACATTTACTAAAAACTGTCAGCAAACAAAATCTCTAGTAGTATTTGCACTATCAACATTCACAATTCATTTCGCAACAACTTGATTTACTAACAACCCTACAGGCCAAAGTTGTGCCAAAATGTATTGTGCAGCTTGTAGTTGAGAACCGCCCTCCCCCTCCCCTCAACACACATACAAATTTAAATGCTTGTGTATATCTGTAATAAACTTTTAAATGATTAGCTGGTTCCTAATAAGACAGAAATAACTGGAAACTTACCTTGCTCTTCTTCTTCTACATCATTAGACATTATATTGTAGAGTGTGTCCAAAGCATAACCTATTATTTCAGAATCTGAACTGCAAAAAAAAAATTATTAAATGCCTAAGGCTAATACTTGTTTTGACCAAAGCTCTCACAACTAATTAAGACTCTCTACAGAGTATCATCTTCCAAACCAGATGGGTAACAGGACATTCTGGACTCAATGGTGGTCCTAATACCCCAGGGATAAAATAGGGTAATTATGCAGCAAAACGGAGGCAAACAATACTATTTTCATACCTCCAAAATGCACCCATCAAGTAGATAGCATTTATTAAGTGCTTATTATGAGTCAAGGGCACAAAAACAAAAGTTAAGACAATCCTCACCCTCAAAAAGCTTATATCCTACCAAGGTGGGGGGGGGGGGGGACCCAAAATGTCCACAGGTGAAGAAACACAAGATGGATATAAGATACAGGTGTGGTGCTACAGGAATAACAACTAGGGAAACTAAGAAAGGCCTGCTGTATTTGTAATATGTTCACTAATGTCATATTTAATGTTTAAAGAAGAAAAGCATCCTTGACGTACAAATTTTCTCACAGACACCCAACACACAATGGGAACACCACCTTTCCTAGCCGAACTGCTGTATCATTCAACTTCTTAATTCCTAATTCTTCAGAGGAAAGGCTAAATACAATTCTAACTAATTTAGCAAAATCTGTACCTTTCTGAATCGGGTAAATCTAGATATATGAAAATTCAAACAGCTCCTGCACTTTGCAGTCAAATCCTAAAGTGGAGTCCTGGGATTCTAAGCCTTAACAGGCATGTGTGACTGACTGACTGCAGGCACGTGAATGTGAGGCTCAGTTTCCACAACTATAAAATGGTCATAATATCGCAGAAACCTATCTCAGAAGGTTACTGTGAAGAAAGTGTTCAAGTAGACCATGAATTTTGTACGTACGTATGTATGTATGTATGTATGTATGTATGTATGTATGTATGTGTTACTCTATTGCCACCCTTTCAATACTTGGCCCTTATCTGCAGCTGCCATTGGGGTTTACTGCTCTACTTTCCCCAAAGTCCCTTCACCAGTTCCATTTCCAATTTAGACTTACTTCTGTCTCAGTCTAGTACCTAAAATTGGCCAGATTAAGTAAAGACTGAGACAAGGCAGAAGCTCAGCTTTTAATCTAAGTAAAAATCTAGTGTGTTCCTATAGGAATCTTGTTAATAAAAATAAATTCATGAAGTTTTACTATATAAACATTCTATCGATTTTATGCAGATAATTTTGATGAGATAAAATATATTTTCAATACAGAGTTTACATATATCTAATTTGATTTGATTAATTCCATAATGTCTTTAGATTTCCTGAGATTTTCATTTGTCAACATCTGAAACTGAGAAGTAAGGAGTAAATTATATTTCTTACTAAAAGATTCTCACTGAAACCAAAGATTCTGTAGGTTTTGGTGTGCACAGAACATAAGAGTGTTACCTTATGTTAAATGCTACTTTTCATAAAGGCTTTCTACATATACTGAAATGTTAAATTTTCTTTTTCATTAACTATGGCAGATTTAGTGAAAAATTTTATATAAATGTTCATAAGAAAATGAGAAAATGTTACGAACAGTGCAACCATCAGATTGAAATTTTTACAAGTTATAGGTTCTAAACCTTACTAGGTTCCGACATCAAAGGTATAGAAAAATAATTAAACTCTCTGCGTTTAGTTTACACAAATTGAAAATAAATCCATTGACCCTACTGAGATAATCAAATTTACACCTTATTTTTCACTAATACAGTTTACATTTCTATTACAAAGAGCATGCAGTCCAATATATAAAAGGAACACTGGAAGAATTATATTGCAGTCCTTTGTGGTCATTAAAATGCAACTTCATTTAACAACTTATAAAAAATCTTAAACTTTTAATTTGTTAACAAAGTAGAAATTAAGTAGAAATTTTACTTTAATAATTTCTGGAATTTTAATTAAACACACACATACATATATGTTTCAATTTCTACTGATTAATGTAAAAGTTATAAGATACAGAAACTTACCGGTCTGTCTGCAAAACATGGATCAGATGTTCCATAGCTTGGATACCTACTTCCAAACGATATTTCTGTCCATAAAATAAAGATAATATTAGAAAGAATGAATAATTAGCCTAACTGTTATACTTCAAAACAAACTGTCACAAACCTTAGATAATGATTTGAGAGCACGGACAGCATCTCTCCGATCATCCAAAAGAGTCGATGAAGCTACTCGGTCACAAAGTTTTTGTATCTGTCATGAAGGAAAAGGCATAGCATTAAACTAGTTAAAAGGTCAGATACAAATTTTGTGATTTAAAAAAAAAAATGACTGTTTAATCTGCAAATAGAAAGGTTCAGGACTAGACTTTTGGAAACCTCACTGGCGGGGTCAGGGACAGAATAAATCCTCTTCTGGTAGGAGAGTACTGAGTCTTTCTCCTCCTTCCCTGCCCTCTCCTGAGTCCCCTTTCCAATTGTTTTTTAGTCAAGGTGAAAAAACTTCTAGTTCCAGATCCAGTAAAACAATTCAGACCACTGACAACATAGTGCTTACTTTACTTTACCATTACAAAACACAGGATCAAAAACAGAGAGGTCTATCAATGGAACAGACAAGGCAGAACAAGACAAACAATGGAATTCAACAGCCCAGTGTCCCATACACCAGAAAACATAAAATGAGAAAAGAACTCCCTATTTGATGAAAACTACAAAGCAGCCCAGCAGATATTAGGCCTAGAGACCAACACATGAGAGTCTTCAGCAACTAAGCAAAAAAAAGAAGCAAAGGAATTTAGGAAAGGGGCACGGGAAAAGAACTGCTAAGGCAAAGACCAATCTCCCCCCCTTATTTATTATTATTACTTTTTTTTTGGCCTAGGGTTTAACCTTCTCCATCTCCTCCTCCTCCTCTCATGAAGCAAAAAGCCAGTGAATTCATTACCAACCTAATGCAATCTAGCAGTTCCCTTACTTCTCTGGGGTAGATCTGCACCTTACGTTGTTAACCCTCGTCTCATCCCTGGCTCCCTCATGGTGAAGAGTCAAAAAGAAACTTCTCTGGTTCCAGAACAACTTCAGTGCCCCCCTATTTCTAGCCAAGCTCACACATGCCTGCCAGACTTGTAAGCTGTGTGAGGGAAGGGATAATAACTTCATGATCTTCAGCTTCTTTTTCTCCTCCAATTTCCTTCTTTACCTCCTACAGCCTACTTTTTTCCTGAAGACATCTTCTCACTATCGTCTCTCCCTTAATGTCAATGCCAGAACAGGAGGAGATTGGCCCTGCATTCTCCAGCCACTTTCAGAGAAGGGATCAACAAGCATTATTTATTCAATCATTTAACAACTATTTATGAAATCCCTCCTGTGTACAGCAGGAGTTACCTTCTAATAGCACAGGGGCTCCACTGGGCAAAAGATAAAGGGGCTGCTGCTGGATGAGACAAGGGAAAGAGAGCCATGTGCCATGTGGTGGACAGACTATAAAATGTGGAACCACTAATTAGCATGTGATTGAGAAAAGCTAGCAAACCAGTGGAAAATGAAGAAATTGGGCTAATGTTGGGGGTAGTTTCCAGACAATATGACTGGCAGAATGGGAGGTGGGCGCCTTAGGTCCCTCACACATACTCCAGCAAACCCTGAAGTTCACACCAGAAGAAATGATGAGGAACTCAATGAGAAATTACTGTGACTTCTTCCACCTCAGAACTACAGAAGAGGTCAGCCCAAATCCTGACAACAGTAGGAAAGGGAGAAGTCTACCTCAGGAAGCTTCCAGGGTGGGGCCCTTGGAAGCCCTGGGGGCAACAGGAGTCAGTGACCATCATGCTAAGACTGGGAGAACCAGGCCCAGGGGCTCTGAGGTCCTGATTTGCCAGGAAGGAACCTAAAGTGCCAGCATTCTGAGCCTCAAAGATCCAGGGGCACCCTCACCCCAGGAGATGGAGGTCAGTGCAAGAACCCAGGAGGCAAACCAGGGCAAGATCAAAAGCAGGGCCAACCACCCCTTCAAAAGCACAGCAGGGGACGGAGCCTGGCCCTGGCACAAAGCCAAGTAAATCAAAGCACTCACTGACCCGTATCAAAAATTATTGAGGTTCAAAGGGGGAAAATATGGAATTATCCACAAGGACAGCATGAACACCTAAAAGAAATGAAGCAACAGATAAAAATAAAATAAAAGTTCTGGCAGAAAGAATTGCGTGTCACTTAGCAGAGAAAGTAGAGAACCTTATCCAAGAAACGGGCTCCCTGAAGACTACAAGACCAAACAGAAACCAATGATTCCATGAGACAGCAGGAAATATGAAAGAAAATCTAAAGACTGGAAATGGAGAAAAACTTAAGGTATCTGATATCAAAATAACTGACCTGGAAAACAGGTCAAAAGGAAAAGTCACTTAAAAATCATAGGACTTCCTGAAAAACAAACACACACACACACACACACACACACACACACACACACACACACACACA